AGACCCTCCCCACTTCTTCCCGTTGCCTCCCTCAGCTAGGATTACTGCGGGTGGGGCACTCAGCAGTAAGGCAAAAATGTGACCATCTGCCTCTAAAAAGTCACACTGAAGTATTTTCTAACGAGCCCACTTAAGGGTCACATAGAAGAAGGTAATTTGGGTTAACTTAACTATTTGCTATTGATGAGGACTCAGGTTCTGTGAAATTAGAGCCTAATTTGGGGATGTGAGATGAGTGATTTTTTTGTGTGTGTGTGAGGAAGATTGGCCCTGAGCTAACATCTGTATCTGATCCTCCTCTTTTTGCTTGAGGAAGATTGTCGCTGAGCTAACATGTGTGCCAATCTTCCTCTATTTTGTATGTACGGTGCCACCACAGCATGGCTTGATGAGCGATGTATAGATCCAGGGCTGGGATTCAGACCTGTGAACCCCAGGCCACCAAAGTGGAACATGCAAACTTAACTACTGAGATGAGTGATTTTTATTCAGTAGAAAAGATAACCTCAAAGATTACAGTTCTATTCTCCTATATAACATTAACTCATTTTGTGTCTAATTTTGCAGTCTTAGTTTAGCTTACCTGAGAAACTCGTATCAGTTTCTCATTCCCTCCTTTAAACCAGCTCTACCATCTTGGGGGTTCCCTCAGTCCCAAGTTGAATGCATCTTTGACTCAGGCTCACCACACATTTGTATGTGTTAGGTTTTTTCACTGTTGGAAGATGACTCTCTGACATGAGAAGGAGGTAATGGTTTCCTATTTCGGTTCTGCTTTCCCTGGAAGAGGAGAGGTTCCTAGCATGGGCAGCCCCGCCTGAGCCTCTCTCCCCCAAGCTTTTGCCTTCTCCCCTGTCACCAGCGTGTCTGAGGCCTCACATGGTCCCAGGGGCAATGTCGAGAGGAAGGCCCTCGGCAGTGAGTGACAAAGGTTCCAAGGGTCCTCCCTGCTGAGTCCAAAGGACCCTCCTTCCATTTCCATCTCCGGTTGCTGCTCTGCCTGGCTTAGAACCCCATTGTCCCAGAGTCTGGGCCTCACCACAGCTGGCCCCTCTGCCCCACATCTGCTCTCTGGGCTGCCCAGATGAGTTCTTTCTCAGTTGCCCACAAAACATCTTGAGGCATGGCGTGCATCCAGCTGAAGACAGCCAGTTGGTTCTATTTGAAACTGGGAAGCGGTCTCCTCGCATGCGGGGGACAGCCCTCCCCCAACCGCACATCTCCCTTACCCAATTCAAAGTAAGAAGGGTCATTTAGATCTTTGGTAGAGACTAAAGGCCCTGCCAAGGCATCTGCATTTTAAACCCTTTCTGTCTAAATTACAGGAGGGAAGAAAATCTTTGCAGTCTTGTTAAAGGAATTCTGGTCACCAGCAAGAAGCCCAGAAGCGATCTACATCTGTTTGTTTGGCAGGGCAGTGGGGAGAAAGGGAATGAAAGAGACTAACCTTAAACTGGCTTGTTCACTTAGGGCGCCCTAGAAAGTTCAGTTGGCAGCCTATCTATTCATCATGTGCCCGAGCACCTTTCCTAGTCCAACCCCTTCTCCTCAGGGCCTTCCTGATTTCTTAAGTTTCCCACCCAAGTCTCTAGCATGAGGCAGGTCTATGTAACAGGCAGACTGTGAGGGCAGCCTGCTCTGCTCCTTTGTAACAGCAGACAGCTGATTGGTTGGAGAAGGAAGTCGTGCACCCTCCAAAGGAATTTACACACAAAGCTTCAGTCCTGCGCTTTCTAGGGTCCATGGGTTGTTGGGGAGTAAGATTTGCTACTTCTGTCCTGTGTGTGTTTAGTGTGTATGATGAGAATGAAGTCCTGTAAGTACTAAACAGGGCCTGGTGCATATGTAGATTTAAAAGAAAAAAACAAAACTGGAATTACAACCTACATAGTATTTGGGGGCCTGCTTTTTTTACTGAAATTACTCAGCATCTTTTGAGCTCAGTAACTCTATTTCTACAATACATTTTTTTTTATTAATATTATGGTAGATTACAACCTTGTGAGATTTCAGTTGTACATTTTTGTTAGTCATGTTGTGGGTACACCACTTCCCCCTTTGTGCCCTCCCTCCACCCCGCCTTTTCCCTGGTAATCACTGATCAGTTCTCCTTGTCAATATGTTAACTTCCACCTATGAGTGGAGTCATATAGAGTTCGTCTTTCTCTGTCTGGCTTATTTCGCTTAACATAATACCCTCGAGGTCCATCCATGTTGCTGCGAATGGGCCAGTTTTGTCCTTTTTTATGGCTGAGCAGTATTCCATTGTGTATATATACCATATCTTCTTTATCCAATCATCAGTTTCTGGGCATTCTACAATACATTTTTAATGACTGGATAGCATTCCACCAAACGACTTTGCTACAATATGCTCACCTATGTACAATTTTTAGGTTTTTGGGAATTGGTTGATTATTAGAAAGAATGCAGCGATGAATATGCTTGCAGCTAAATCTTTGCTCATCCCTAATTATTCATCAGGATGAATTTCTAGGAATGGAATTGCTAGGTGGAAGCATATTCTTCTTAGTGCTTTAGAAAAGACAGCCCAGGGGCCGGCTCCGTGGCTGAGTGGTTAAGTTCGCGCGCTCCGCTGCGGCGGCCCAGGGTTCAGATCCTGGGCGCAGACATGGCACCGCTCATCAGGCCACGTTGAGGCGGCGTCCCACATCCCACAACTAGAAGGACCTGCAACTAAGATATACAACTGTGTACAGGGGGGGTTTGGGGAGATAAAGCAGAAAAAAAAAAAAAAGATTGGCAACAGCTGTTAGCCCAGGTGCCAATCTTTAAAAAAAAAAAGAAAAAGAAAAAAGAAAACACAGCCCGCTTTTCCTGACCAACACTGGTATTTTAGTTCTTTTTTTAATTTTTGCCCATTTGATGGGGGAAAAAGGTGTCTCACTGTTTCATTTGCATCTTCTTTATTACGAGGGCGGATGACTGTTTTGGGGGTGGTTGCTCAGACATTTATGGCTCTTTTTTGATGTGCTTGAGTCACGTCTTTTATTCATATTTCCATTGGTGTGTTTGTCTATTTTTTAACTGACTCCAAAGAACTCTTTATGGGTGTGAATATTAATTTTTACTGCAAATATTTTTCTTAGTTTGTCATTTACCTTTCGCTTATAGTGGGTTTTTCCATAAAAAAGCTTAAAATTTTCTACTCTCAAATATATCGGCCTTTTCTTTTATAATTTTTGCCTTGGGGGTCACGTTTTGTGACTCTTCTCTGCTCTAGCCTCATGTAACCAATTTTTCTTCTATTACGTTTACGGACTTGTTTTCCCACCCTTAAACCTTTAATCCATCTCCAAGTTATTTTTATGTTTGAGAGGGAACTCAATTTTTATTTTTGGAGATAGAATTCTAACTCAGGAGATAGAATTCCAACTCATTTTATATGGTGTGTCAATTATCCTAATACCACTTATTAAATGATCAATTTTTTCCATCATTGGTTTAAGGATGCCACTTTGTTGTATAATATTTATATATATCTAATCTATTTTTAGCTATTCTATTTTGTTCCATTACTTTATCCATTCTTATACCAATAGTGTACTATTTTAATAACTACAGCCTTTGTGTACCTTCAAAGACCCAGTAAAGGAAATATCCCATTCTTACTCTTCTTTAAGAATACATCAATAAATACAAAATAAATGCTACCGTAGAGCATTTATTTTTTCAGATAGACTTAATCTATCTTATTAAATTTTAAAAGATACTGTTGGCATTTTGATTGCAGTTAGATTTATTTCCATAATACCTGATGTTATCACAATACTGATTCAATCTAACCACGTCTCTTAAATTATTTATCCTTCAGTTAAGTTTGTTTTCTCTGTGTAAGTTATTCACGTTTTGTAAATTTCTTTTACATTTTTAGTTGCCATTGTAAATTTCTTTTTCTCATTATGTTTTCTTACTGGTTGATGTTGTTATATGGGAAAGCTCTCAGCCACCTATCTGACAGTTCTCTGGGTGATTCCCTTAGTCTTGACAGATAAGCAATTGTTTGATCTCTGCGTAATTAAAATTTTCTCTTCCCCGGAAGAGGAAACACTCTTTATTTTTGTCTTTTTGCATAGGCAAAATACTTATAAGCATGAAGAGGAAACTTATTGACTTAAATGGAAATACCTCTAGTATTTCACTGTGGGCTATCACCTTATTAAGAATACTTCCATATATTAATGGTTTCCATACATTAGAGGGGTTGTGAATATCAGGAATGGATGTTGAGTTTTATCCAATGTTTCAGAGGTTCAGAGGCATCTACTGAGATGTTTATGTGACTGTTCCTTTGAGCGGCCCATGTGATGAATTACTTTAACATGGGGCCACTTCTCAGTCAATCAGACTTAATTATGTTTCCTTTTGCTCTACAATAGTTCTCTCAGACCTCATTTTCATGTCTGTTATAGCATCTGCTGTAATTTCTCAAGAACTCCTACTTTTCAGAACGTGCATATGAAAACTTGGACAGCACCAGGCCCTGTCTGCACTTGTCATGGTGCCCAGCAACCTGTCCATTCCTAGCGCCAGCCACCTGCCCTGGCCAGAACCAAATCTATCCACACGTGCATTTCCCTATTTGCTCCTGAGGCAAAGAGAACAAACAAGGGCCTCTGTCAATATTGTGGGGGCTTCTCCGTTTGGCCTGGGCAGCCCCTGAGACCCCCTGGCTAACCAGAGCACAGGCACAGACCGTGTAGTGGGGTCTCCTTGCCTTGCACCTCGGCTCAGCTTCCCCTAAGAATTCATCCTGGAATTACTGCCTGTGTTCACTGCTTTCAGCCAGCTGATGCTCACACGCACGGTGCACACAGCACCAGGAGGAGGAGACTCTAAGGTGTGAAGCAGGCCCCGGGCAGAGATGAGCTGAAGGATGTGAGGTGAGGAGGGTTGTGGCCAAAGGCCAGTTCCAGGAGAACTGGAAACCTCCTGACCGTCTGATCCCTGCCCCACGTCCCGGCTGCCTCTGCGCTTACCTGGGGCCTTGAGTTCAGCGTCGATGAAGGTGAGCAGCTCCTGGCAGATGCTGCAGTAAGGGACAGGCCAGGTCAGGAACCGGTGGTAGGTTCTGGCTGCTTTCAGAAGGAGATCTGAGTCTGGCGGGAAGTGTGGTGTCTGGGATGGAGAGGGAGAGGCAAGCAGAGGGGTCTGGGTGAGAGAAAGCTCACAGATATTCCAGAACAGACCCTGCTCCTTTTAAGGAATGTTCCACATAGGGCACACATTTCCTGGCAGCAGTATGTCCAAGGACAAGGTCAGGAAGAACTGGAAGTTACCCACAGGGAGTGAGTTACAGATGGGCAAAATGGCGCACAGGAGTGTCTCTGTTATGAGGGCCTTGTTTTTACCAAACAACACAGTTTAGCCCACACATGAGAGTGGCGCTCTGAAAAGCTGTCACCTTGGTGTTCATCCAAATGAGTGGCAGCAAGATGCCACTGCTGCTACTCATTTTGGGGAATGGTCTTCAATGCCTAAACCACCTTTATTTAAATAGCCTCACTAGAGGCAAACGTTTCTTCTTCGAAGTGCATTGGCTCAATGCACACGGAGTCATTTGGTCTCACCGGCCCGGATGACACAGGATGATCACATCGGGTGATACTGACCACCGGGGTACAAATTGTGGTGGACATAAAATCTCTCAACAGAATCTGTTTTGTGGCTCGTGAACACACTGTGACAGCAGCTCCTTCATGGGAGCCCAGACATGCTAGGCACAATGGCGTCCATGAGGAGTTACTGGGGGCCTCTCAAGATGGCTGCTCTGAAGCCATCAGAGGGTTGACACCCATTTCAAGCATCAATGTTTGCCAGTTTCTTTCTCTGTGTCAATCTCTAGAGGTGTGAAGGCTATGCCCCCCATGGCGGTCATTCTTGCCTCTCCTCTCCTGCCTCCCCCAGCCTGGCCCATCCTGGAACTTACACAGAGGACGGTGGAGTAGAAGAGCAGGGCCAGGGGCGCAAGGAGGTCATAGGTGCCCTTCTCTTGCACCTGTGGGGAGGACGAGACAGGAGGGGTGAGGCTCATTCACAGGGTGCAGAACAGATCAGCCCTTTCTTGCTCTATTTCCTTTTCTTCCTTTTTTAAGTGAAAAGCAGTGTAACCACAGACAAAAAGAAGCACTCATAATAACCCCCTTCCAAACTCAACCATGGTCAGTGTTTCAATGGAATTCTCCTTATACCATTTTTCTGTATGTATTCTCCTCTGCAAAGTTGTAATCAGAGTGCATACATTTTTACTCTTAATGTCTTTTACACATAATATTATGAATGAATTTCCGTTTTCCTACCTGGCCTCTAGGATCATCTTTTTTTTCCCTTCTGGTTATACATTTACCTGTTACTGTGTTGTAAATATTTTTTTCCAGTTTGTTGTTTGTCTTTTAATTTTATGAATTTTTTTGATGTACAGAAATTACAAATTTTAATTTTTTCATTTATGGATTTTTGCTTTTGCGTACAAGGATCACATAAATATTCACATATATTTTCTTTCAAGCTTCACTTTCTTAAATTTAAATCTTTAATCTACCTAGAATTCTACCGCTGTAGGGTGTGAATTGGGAATCTCTGTATTTTTCCAAATGTTTAGTCAATTTCCCCTAAAACAATTAATAAATGTTACGGATCCAATTTTATTATATATTAAATTTTGTTTATACCCTTGGTTTTTTTATTAGCTGCATAATATTCCTTCTGGTAGATCTCTGTAATTTATTAGCTTCATCTTAGACATTTAAGATTATTTTCTTTCTATTTTAAATACTTTTGCAAGGGAAACCTTTGTGCACATTTCTTTTTCTATACTTTGGATGCTAGGATAGCATTCAAGAAGTGAAATCAATGGATCAAATACTATAAACATTCTTACGATCTTTAAAATGTATTGCCAAATTGCTTTCCAAAAGGATTTTGCCATTTACCACATCTCGTATGTATGAAAGTACCAGTTTCGCTATAACCCTTCCCTGCATTGGTTATTATAATTTTTTTTGCTAATTTGCTAGGCAAAGGCTGACTCACTATGGTTCTATTTTGCATTTATGTTATTATAACTGAAGCAACATTTTCCCGTATTTGTTTATAAGTTCTGTTTACTCTTCTTTGAATCATCTCTTTGATAGAGCCCACCCACCACACCACATACACACACGATTTAGAATGCTTTCGTCAAAATGCTAAAGGTCTCTCAGCCCATTCTGGAACCCGGGGGGGTTGAAGACACACAGAAAGCCCCGCCATCTCCGCTGTGCCTGTGACCACAGCAGGCTCAGACTTAGAATTCTCCTTCTCTTTACCCTGAACAGACTGTGTGTCCAATACACCTGCTGCTCAGTCCTGTCTCCAAAGCCCTCCCCTGCTGATGCATGGTGCTTGATCCTTTCTATCTGGGTTTGTAAGTTCAGCACTCCAGAGGTGGTTTGGCTCTTCTGAGTTGGTCTGCTGGTAAATGGTGGTGCCAGAATCGGAACCTGGGGGTTCTTGATAAACCAAGACTTTCAAAGGGACAGCTAACTGAAAAAGTCACATGTTTTCCAACTCAGTCATGTATTAAAAAAACCCAAAAACTTAAAAGAGAATGCTTTATAAAAGAGAGAGAATCCTCTTTAGGGACGCATAGCTGTTCTGGAACCCAGCCCGGCTCAGCATTCGATGCGCTTCTCTTCTTAGTCAGAAAAGCCTATTTATTGAACTGTTAGAGGAGGTCTCAGTTTATCTTTCTAGTCAGTTTTCTCTTTTGTGTCTTTGTTCCTATGGATCTTTTTGAGGAAAGGAATTTGGTCGAGCTTCCTCTTTCCTTTCTACTCAATTCTTTGACTTACAAGCAATATCTGTCTTAAGAAGCAGCTTAAACTCAGGACCTTGGTTTACATATCTCGTGTTCTTGTTGAAAAGACCACACCTGTTCTTAGAAACTTTCAATCCACAAGCATGCCTGAAACAGAAAGCTTCTGAGTTCCCAGTGCCTTTGCCAAGCCCTTTGGTGGTCCAGGCACCCCAGAAATGACATTTGTTGGTGATCTATCCGTCGACTCTATAAGGCCGATCCCAGCTCTGCCCTTCAATGCCCTCACCTCTCGGGTTTTCTGCAGGATCTGTTCGAGGAGGATAAGGAAGTGGCCCGGGTCCCTGCTGACCAGCTCCTGCAGGCTCCAGCAGTTTAGACACAGCCCAGCTGGAAAGGGAGAGAGAGACCAGTGGTCAGTTTGGGGTTGGAGAGATGTGGGAATCCCTGGGACTGTACTGGGGCTTTCCTTTCTAAAGTAAGAGTCTCAGAAAATTCTGGATCAACTCTCAATCCTATCATGTCCCATCAAGACATAATGACAACTTTCTTAGTCCTGCATATACAGGAGGCTCAAGAGACACAGAGATGGGATGGGATCCCCTTTAGAGGCCAGTGAACAGGCCATGGTTCTGCTCCCCGAGCCTCCAGAGGGCACCTGATCCCACAGCCTCCCCCGCCCTGGTTTCCTACAGGGGCAGCTGGAACCTCCAAGACACAGGGAAGGAGGGCAGACGCAGAGATTAATGGAAGAATCAGGAGGGGAACCATAGTGAACTCCCCCCCCAGGACACAAGGCTGAGTCTGTGACAGCCATGGGACTTCCCAGGACGCCTGGCAATGCAGCCTGGGAAGGGGAAGCTACATTCATTTATATTTTGAAAGCTACAATGAGCATTTCGTCACTCTGCAACTTCCCCAGACTTTCTTATTTTGTCAATGTCTATTTCCCTGCAGTCAGCAAGGGTAAACCCCTAAAAATTAAAGAGGTGATGACGGAGGCCTCTGTGTGCGTGTGTGTGTGTGTGTGTGTGTGGTGGGGAGTGAGAACAGCAGGAGTGGAAGTGGCCTGACCACGAGTTGCATCCAGCTTAGGCTCCAGGCTCCCTCCTGTGCATGGGCTCCTTCCAAGGTCGTGGAGGCCCAAACAGTGAACCAGGTGGTCACAGGTTTTTGTAAAATTTGCAAAAGTCAGATATTTTTGTATTCTTTTACTTAATGATGGCCCCTTAATTCTATAAGTGTAGGCTCCATCAAAACCTGGCTAGGAGGCAAGAAGGAAGAAAACTACCATTTATTGACTACCTACTCTGTGCCAATAAGGTATGAGGCCTTTGCATACATTATCTCCATTGAGCCTCTCATCGTCCCTTCAGGAAGTGGTTCCTGTTATTATTCTCATTTTATGGACAAAGCAGGTGAGGTCCTGAGAGGTTAAGTGACTTGCACAAGTTTATACAGCTAGTGAGAGACAGTTTGTTTAATTCCAAAAGCCAAGGAAAGCCTCTCAGAGGAGGGGACGTTTGAGCCGAGACCTGGATGAGAAGGAGCCAGCTATGTGCAGTTCTCAGAGAAGAGTTCCAGGCAGCAGGTGCAAAGGTCCTTAGGTAGGAAGGAATCAGGTGTGTTCAAGGAGTAGTGGATGTCTATCTCATGGGGTGGTTAGGGAGGCAAGTGAAATATGTGAGGTGAAAAATCTTTACAAGCATAAGGTATTATTACAATTAGGTACCAGCCTTCAGAGACACAACTGCCCCAGGCTGCAGATACCCCCGTTTCTCAGGCCTGGGGAGCATGGAACGTGGAGGTTGCCTCCTCCCTGAAGCTCTGCTGAGACTCGCCCTTGTTCTCTGTGGAAGAGGAAGATGGGACAGTGGAGGCAACTAGAAACCAAGTAAACAGAGGCATTCTGGGGAGAGCTGTCTATGAATTCTCAGCTGCTCTTTCGGAATCAGCAGCTGTGGTTTTTCGAAGCATGTCAATACCTTCTTCAGGAGCTGTGCTTCCAGCACAGGCTAAGGAAGCAAGATACAGCCCCGAGGAGGCTGAGGAAGACAGCATGGGAGACAGGAGAAACTGCCACACACGAGGGCCTACTCTCCATCAGGTGTGTGCCGAGCACCTGCCCAGATGAGGTCCAGGGGCTTGCTCAAGTCACACAGACAGGGTTGGAGCCAGAATCTGCCAGTTTTTGTGCCTGGTCCAGTGCTCACGGCGGCCCCTGAGGCTTCCTTGGGCCCTAAGGGTGCCTCCCCAGCTCCCTGGGACCTACCTGACCAGGAGGTGGAGCAGCGGCTGAGGCTGAGCCCATGCAAGCAGCGCTCCAGGGCATGCTGGATGCGGTCCTCCGTGCACGTCGTGGCCCCTGGCTGCATCCTGAGTCATCGCCTGCATGGGGGACAGACACTGGTCAGCCTGGAGACCCCCAGGCTCGAGGAGCGCAGGGCCCAGCAGCGCAGATGACAGAGACAATGGGCACTCACAGCCAGTGAGTGGGCTAGAGCTGTGGGCATACACAAGGAGGCTTACAGCTGCCTCCAGGCTGGAACAGCCCCTGGTGGGGCTGCCTGAGCAGCAGGACTGAGCGCTCCTGCAGCCCAAGAACACAGAACTACAGGAAGGGAGGGGTCAGGGATGGCAGCTGAGAGGTGGACAGGGGCTGCCTGCCCCACTGGGCAGTCGCCGGGTCTCCAAGGGCCTGGGGAGTGCCCAGGGAATGGCCAGACCCCAGTGGGCTGGGCAGGAGGATCCCAAGCGAAAAATCAGAGTCACTTGGGGAACTTTTTCTGAATTTCCAGGCCTGCATCCCCCAGCCCTCAGGGAGCCTGTTCCTGATGAGAAGGCCACAGAATCTCTGTCAGTGTGCTGGGTGCTCCAACGCTGGGGCCCAGTGCGGGTTGCTTTCACATGTCCCCCACCTCGCCACAACCTCTGCTTGGGTGTCTAGGCCACGGGCACCCGTTCCTTTTCTCCCTCACCTCCACTTTGGCCATTTTTCTTTGCTTCTCTGAGGCTTGGTGATGTTACATTATTCGAAGACCTCATTGGCTTCCCCCACCTTGTTCTACTGAGGGGAGGCCGAGGGTGCTTAGCTCAGGCAGGAGGGCCGCTGAGGAGGGGACTTAAGAAGGTGTTTCAGCACGAGATGGGGAGCTGTGTGAAGTGCCAAATTCCCAGAGCAGGCCCTCCAGTAGGGCCGGCCCAGCTCCTTAGCTGTGCGTGAGGGCTCCCGGGTCCCTCAGGAAGCCATGACAGGTGATTTAGCACAGTGAATGAGCCTGGCCTCTGGCATCAACAGACTTGGACTCAAATCTGGACTCTGATATTTGCCAGCCATGACTGGGCAAATTCTCTAACTTTTCCAAACCTCAGTTTACTTATCTGTAAAATGGGGAGGACAACGGTCCCAACTCCATAGGGCTGTTGGGAGGATTAAATGCCAGAGTGGATGTGCTGAGCAAGCTTTCAAGACACGAAGCCATCATGCCGCAGCCTTTGCCACAATCACTCTCTGCCTCAGGAATTTCATGGCATTCACTGGGTCCCGGCAGACCCCACTGCTGGCCTGTCAGGCCGAGTCATAGAGGGAAGCTGAGGAAGCAGTGGGCCAGTTCTGTGGAACTGGGGATGGACCAGGAAACCACAAGCAGAAGCACAGAGCTCAGGGCTGAGCCATGCAAACGACATGCAAAGAGCTATGAATCCTAACATGGACCCAGCTGCACCCTGGAGCATTCAGCTCACAGAGGCTGTAGCAGGCAAATCCTCCAACTTCCCCAGCCTGGGAGGAATCACGTGCCCACTGAGGGACAAAAGCCTTTGTGAGCTGTCCAGCATCACTTCATGTCAGTGATGTCTCGAGGATGTTGCGGGGGTGGGCACACAGGAAGCAGCTTGCATGCGTTCATTCTTGCAAATATTCACTGACCACCTACTATGTGCCAGGCATGAAGGACACAGCAGTGAATGAAGCTGGTACGCTCCTTAGAGGGAGACACAGACGTTAAATAACTTAACAGCCAAAGAAAGAGGTTATCACAGAAGGTGATGCATGCTACGAAGAAAGCGATGGTGCTGGAGGGAGCTCAGAGGGTGGCGCCTCGCAGGTCCTTCATTTACAGAAGGGGAACCTGAGACCCAGGGAGGATAAGGGGCAGCCTGGGGGTGGGGGCTGAGTGGGGGGAATCAACACCGGTATAAACAGACCAGGGTATCAAGCAGGACTTCTTCTATATTCCCAAATTAGCTGAGGCCCAAATCTCAGCACAAAAGGTTCTCAACAACCGACATGCTCAAGTTCTAAGAGTCGCAGTGAGCTGTCAGGGATGGGGCAGGCCACCATGCTGGGGGCTCACGGGGAGGTCAGAGCTGGCACAGCTGCCCGACCTCCCCAGCAATATAAGACTGGGAAAAGGTCAACCATTCCGAAGGGCTCTCCTTTCCTTGCCCAAAGCCAAGGGCAGAGGGGCTTTCAGAGAATCCCTTATTCAGACCGGATGCCTGCCAGGTGGGGACACTGCCATCTGGTTCTCAGTTCACTCTGTTCAGCCAGCAGGCTTACTTCCCTGCTCCCTGTGAGCCATGGGAGGGCTGAGAGGAGGAGCAGGAGGGCCAGCTTGCAGGTCCACCGTTGGGTAAGGCAAAGATGTGAGCTCCTTGTATGTACGTGTGGGGTGGACACTAGGGACTAAAGCTGGACTTGAGCTGTTTTGTTGACACTGGAGGGTCCCCAGAAGGGAGAGGGAAACAGCAGGAAGAGGCTGAAGGTTGGACCACCTTTGAGGGAAGCTGGAGAGAGCAGGATGAAGAGATGGGAAATCTGTGGCACAGAGAAGTTAAACAACTTGCCTAAGGTCACACTCTAGGAGGTGGCAAAGCCAGGCTATGAACCCAGGGAGTGTGGCTCTTGACCAGTACAGTACACTGCCCCTCGGCACAGTCAGATGCAGTCACTGGAAGAAAAATAAAACCAATTCACGTTTCTACCCCAGCAAGTGAGACTCAACTGTAACATTATCTTGCTCTAAGAGACCTAGACTCCCAGTTGCTAGGAATCTTGAGCCCACCGTCTGTCTACACCAGCTGCCCACTGCAGCCCTGCATCCTGCCAAGAGAGGGTCAGGGCTCACAGAAGCAGGGCTCTCGGTTGGACCAGGCGATGACCCGAGGTGGTGGCTTGAGGGGCTCAGGCCTTCTCTAGCTTGGAGCAAAGCTGAACCATGTGAACTGGGTTTGAAGATCTCTCTGCCGGGTCCCTGCTGAGATGGACAAGTCAGTTGTGTTACGAGGCAGGAATGAGTCACTCCGCCCTATTGTGTCCCACTATAACTGATGCAAACACAAGATGCAAATGACCATTCTTAGCCAGCACCACCTCTGCTACACCTCTATCCTTAGAGGGTCAGGACACACTGTCCTCGGGCTGCTGTGGGCAGCCTTCAGAGAGGCTACAGGCTGTTCCCTCCATAGCCTGCTGGCTCCTGCTTCTTCCCTTCTCCGGGCCCCCTGTGACTTCCCCATCTCCTGGACTCAGTGTCCTTGGCTGTTCATTGGAGACAATCAAGACCTTCTCTACAGCTGGGCCAGTATCCCCAGGGCACTGGGCAGAGTTCCTGCTGTGCCAGCCTCTCTGGCGTCCTGAGGCCACCTAGAGTCGCCCCAAGCTCTTCTGAGAGACAGAACCTGCCCAAGGCACTGGGCCCTGAGAGATGAAGGAAAGGGGAGCCTGGCCGAGGATCCTCAGCTGAGCTGCCCCGGGGGTTAATTCAGCACACCGCGGCTCATGGCCTGGCCCTTTGGCACGCTTATTTCCGTTTGATGAGTCAGTCATCAGCCGTTTCTTGTGACTTGTCAGCAGAACCCCAGTGGCTTTGGGGTAGAGAGGAAGGGGGAAGAAGGTGGCAGCCCTTCCTCTCCAAGGATGATGCCTTTTTTCAAAGGCTTGGCAAGCAAGGCCTGGCTTCCCCTGGCATCCCACTCCTAACCACCTTGCCACCTAGCTAAGAGGAGCTCCTATTGTGAAATTCTAGCTGCTGCCGGGAATGGAACCGCCCCCCCCACCTGCAGTGGGGTAGTGTTGAAACATTCAACAGTGGGGCCTGCCCCCAACTCCAAGTTCCTCTTCTGAGCCAGTAAGGATGAGTCCTTACTGGGGATCCTGAACAGGACAGTGAGGCCTGGAGTTGGGGGGGGGGGGGTCAGTGCCCAGAGGGAGATCTCTTCACATGTTGACATGATCCTATGGTACAAGAAAGGGGTTGTCTTCCCTGATGTGCAGGACATGAGAGGGGCAGGGTCTGTGGGTCCAGCTTCCTGAGGCAGCCCAATACGGGGCAGGGAGGAGGGCTTCTTTTCCTGGGGGACTTCTCAAAACAGTGCAGAATGGGGGCTGGCCCCGTGGCCGAGTGGTTAAGTTCGCGCGCTCCGCTGCAGGCGGCCCAGTGTTTCGTTGGTTCGAATCCTGGGCGCGGACATGGCACTGCTCATCAGACCACGCTGAGGCAGCGTCCCACATGCCACAACTAGAAGGACCCACAACGAAGAATATACAACTATGTACCGGGGGGCTTTGGGGGAGAAAAAGGAAAAAAATAAAATCTTTCAAAAAAAAAAAAAAAAAAACAGTGCAGAATGGCCGAACTGGAGGGCCCATATCTCATAGGGAGGGAAGTGTGGGCCTCCAGGCTCTGATGGGCACTCCACACTGCTTCCCTGGTATTCTGGAGTATTCCAGGCTCAGGCCCATGCTTTGAAACCTTAGTCCCACAGGTGGGGATAAGAGAAGCTACAAAGTGTGTGGTCCTGCGCTGGCCCCACCTGCTTCAGTCCTGGTCACTCCTCCCTCTCCCCCGCCCTGTCATCCTCTGTGGCTTGAGCTCCTTCTCTGCCACCTCTCCTTCTTGTGACTGCTTAAAGCAGAATCTCTTCTGCCTTAGTTTTCATTTCCAATACAGGAAGGATACACCAGAAACTAAGGAGAAGGAGTGAAAAAGGGGTGGAAAGGATAAGGGGATGGGATGGGGGATCACGAGGAGCAACGCTTCTCTGCGATAACTTTATGCACGGCTTCAACTCTTAGAACCACAGCAAAGTACTTCACATATCCCAGATTAAATAAGTAAATCAACCATGATCTGGCGGGGGGCGGGGGGGCGGGGGGCGGCAACAACAAAAATGGAATAGAAACAATAACGAATTAACCTAACTGTATTAGAAATGATTAACATAACCACATGGAAAGGGATGGGGAATGAAAGAACTAACCTGAGTAACTTCGAGAAATAGTATTTTGACGATACTCTAAGGCTGAAGACAAAAAAAAAAAAAGACACTACATAAAAATACAGTTTTCTAGTTATTAAACCTGTTTCTCACGAGGATATGGGTTAAAAATCCTGAAACGTCTTTATGTGTATGCTAGAATTGAACAAATAAATAAATGTATCATAGATAATGAGAGCTGGTTTCTCACTGTTGGAGAGAGAAGTTAGAGATAAGGAAAAGGAGAAGTCCAGAATGAACCCACCATTGGTGTTGGACTAGAATTGGAGAAAGCAGTATGAACTCATGGTTTTTAATGTATATACAGATAGATACATACAGGGGTGAAAAAAGGTGTGTGTGTGCTTGAATTAATATGCATACATGTATTTTCGAGCTCTGCCTTCTGAGAGAGCCTAGAAACAATGACGTCCGAGTAGCAATGAGCACACATAGTGCCCAGACCTTGGTTTCTAAATACCATTCTCCAATCAAAGGGACCAGGGCTCCTTAGAGAAATGGCTGATTCTAGGACTGGGTCAGGAAATATACAAGATAAACCCAGAGCATCTTGTAGAGCCAGAAAGTAAGTCAACACTTGAAAAAGGACGGGGAATGTCAAAAGGACATGGGAACCAGCTTGAAGGAGTTTCCAATGGCAAGAGCCAGGGCAATTTGAACAACTAAATAATGAAAGAGTTGGATTATAATTCATAGGATGAAATAAATACCCTTGAGTCTACATTAATGTCATAAATAACAAAATAAAAAAATAAATGGAGGAGAAGGGATAGGTCTTCTTTACAAAAGAATTCCAATTAATAAATGTGTGAGGGGGGCTGGCCCCGTGGCCGAGTGGTTAAGTTCGCGTGCTCCGCTGCAGGCGGCCCAGTGTTTCGTTGGTTCGAATCCTGGGCGCGGACGTGGCACTGCTCATCAGACCACGCTGAGGCAGCGTCTCACATGCCACAACTAGAAGGACCCACAACGAAGAATATACAACTATGTACCGGGGGACTTTGGGGAGAAAAAGGAAAAAATAAAATCTTTAAAAAAAATAAAAAAATAATAAAAAAAATAAATAAATGTGTGAGGAATGAGAGAAATACAAAATCACCATTAGACAAACACCACAGTAATAACTGTTGCAGATCCACCAATAGATGCTAAAATCTTTGGGTGAAAATATGAGAGGAAACAGGATATTTGCATAGTCTCAGAGTATTTCCCCGAAGAAATTGATCAATTACAAAGAAGAAAATAATAATTTCACAGTGGAGAAACCCAGCACTACCCTAACCTCACAACCAGGGTGACTATCGCCAATCAGACATATCAACATCACGTAGCCCCGATACAATGCACTGAGAGGCATATGACATCACTTCTGCGGGATTCTTGCCCAAAATGCAGAACCATGCAACCTAATCATGAGAAAACATCAGGTAAAACCCAACTGGGAGAAATTCTATAAAGTAACTGATCAGTAACTCACCAAAGTGTCAAGGTCATAAAAGTTAAAGAAAGACTGAGGAACTGTCACAGATTGGAGAAGATTAAGGAGACAGAAAAACTAAATGGAAGGCAGGACCCAGGGGTCCTAGACTGGATTCTGGAACTGAAAAGGGATATTAGGGGGGAAAATGGCTAAAATCTAAATAAGGTCTGTAGGTTAGTTAACAGTATTGTACCAATGATCATTTCCTGGTTTTGATAACTGCCCCATGTCACGGAACTTGTTAACATAGTTATGTAGCCTTACACACCCTTTATATATCTTTCCAGGTGGTTATCCAATGCCTTGCTGCCCTTCATCAACTTGTTTAAAGTAGTTATTTCGTTTATAGTCACAGTTCCTAATCACTGGTGGGTGGACCAGTGCAGGGCTGGCTACCTCAAAATCCCCAAACCCAGTGTTCCTAAACTGGGGTGGAGAATTTCTGGGGCTCTTGGAGGGTCGCTGAGGGCTCTCTGTGAGAACGGCCAAACCGTATTTTCATTTTGATGGCAATCTAGAAAAAGGCAGTCGTTAATATATTCTGGAACATCTTGTTAACACCCACCAAATATTACCATAAGATGTCGATGCCCAGTTTGCATTTGTGACTATCACCAATTTGGTGTCACCTAAAAGGACAGGGTGTGCCAGGTGTGTTCCTGGGGTCTGTGAGAGCTCAAGGTTGTGCACAATGAGTTAATACGTGGAAAACGTTTAGAGACAAGTGCCTGGCACATAAGAAACATTCAATGAATGCTATCTATTAGCTATCGGGACGCTTTCCTAACATCCACATTTCTGTTGTGCAAATCCAGATGGCTCTGAGATTGGGCCAAGAAAGAAAACACTGCCTGGATGATTCTGATGCACAGTCAGGCTTGGAAAGCAATGTTTTCTATTTTACAAATACACCCCCCACCACACACACATATACTAGACTATAAGACAAGGGAGGCACCTTAGAGACCATCTAGTACAACTCTCCCATCTACAGATGGGAAAATGGAGGCTCTGAGCAGTGAAGGGACTTGCTCAGATTAGAAAGTGGCAAATCTATAACCAGCATCTGAGCCTAAGGCCCAGGATAGTCATGGCACCTCTGGCTTGTGTGGGAATCAGCCTCTGCTGCCTGGCAGTGAGTGACCTCAGCTCCTCTCCTCAAGGTTATTTTTGGAATTCTTTTTCAAATTTCTT